ATCAAGGTCTACAGCCCCCCCTCAACCCCCTCTGACCCCCCCCCCGGTACTTAACAGAAGAGGTCCAGGAAGATGAATAAATAACTTCCTGTCTCCCCCCCCAGCTTTGTTGATGTGTGCGCAGCGTCGCCCCCTGCAGCCTACAGCTAAGTAGATATTGTTTAATGGATGGAGGTCAGAACATTCCTCACCTCTGGTTATCTCAGTGAGTGATAATGTAAGATGCACTCGGCCGCAAGGACAAAGAAAGATAGGGTTTCTGTTTTTAACTGGCCGACACCGCTGCCCGTGGAGCCACCGCGCCACAGAGCTCTCATCTGTGGAGGGAGGGAGGGAGGGGGGAGGAGAACGCGGTCGTCGGGACAGAACTAGGCTGCGTCAGAGCAAACAGTTATTTCAGCCGTCGACGGTCGACCCACCGCCACTGTCACTTCAGCTTTGTTCCAGCCCTGACTGTTGCCTGGTTACAGGTTAGGATGAAGTGTGTGGCTGTTTGAGGTCAGGCCAGGCGGTCAGGTGAAGTCAACGACCAAACAAACATTTATAAAAACACGTGTTCTAACGTCTAGAAAAACCTTTTATAACATGAGATACAGACTCAGGTTGAAATAATTACAGACACAGTTAAGTGTCTGCTCAGTACAGACCTGACATCATCAGTAACGTTGATGACAGACAACAACAGTTCTGGCTGCTCTGTTTCTGCCCAAATCCTAATTTCTAAAAATGACAATTTTCCAACAATAACAAAAAACTGGTTCAAAGCCCAGAAAAGCAGTTGTTAAGTATGAGAGGAGTAATTAGCATTTAGCTAACTGCGCTAACGTTTTAATTGATATATTTTTTCATTTTTAAATTTGAGTCAGATTAACACAACATTTGTGTTTGTTTTCACACCAGCAGCGCTGCCTCACCTGACCTGTAGGGGCAGTAGATCATCAGTCACCCAGTCTGGGTCGGTACTGTTTACTGTATGTAACTGTAATTAACAGGTAATTGTTTAATTAAGACAATTAGAAATAGCAGGTTGATCTGAGGTCAGTCCAAGTCCAACGCTCCGGTCTGTGCACTTCACTCGACACCTCAGCGTATCTGGAATCATCAAACTAACGAGGTGTTCCCTGACAGGTTAATTAAGTTAACACCCAGCGCCGCACAGTCACAGCAGGAAACACAACAAACACGAAAAATGGTGGAAACCCCCGGCCGCCGTGTCGGAGTACGACTGAACGCCGGCCTCCCGTCTGTGATCTGTCGACTTCATCGCACCTTCGTTCTCCGACACGTGTTTAGACTGGGGGGGGGGCTGTAACTACAGACAGGGGGGAACAAGGGCAGAGATGAGGGGGGGCAGGGAGGGGGGGGGTCTGCTGGGACATTTGGAGACAGGGTTAGACAGAGGTAGCGGTGTATTCGTCGTCCTCTCTGCTCCGCCGTCGTCGTCGTCTCTGTCGTTTCTGTCAACCTTTTCTCGGTGTCGCAGCCTCTCCACATTTCCTGTAGCCTGTTGCTTAGCAACTTGTGCCCGGCCGTGCTGAGTGGCACGACTGTGGCAGGGAGTGTCACCACGTGTCAGGTCAGACTTATGTGATTACACACTAACGTGCCGTCTCCCACAATTCTCTGGAGAGGCGGCCAATCAGGCGTGTTACAGCGGCGAGGTAAACTTGTCATGTGTGCTCACGGAGGTGGAAGTGATGTCACCATCTGACGGCGACGACAACAACAACAACAACACGGACAAATGGAAGATAAAACAACAGCCCCAAAAACAAACGTGTGAACCAGAAGTTGTGTTTTCTCTGCAGGAAGAGAAACATTTACAAAACAGAAGGATTTTACTAGGTGGCGCTATAACTTCAAAAATCTAAAAAAAAAAAAAAAACAGGAAAACGTGTCCCATACATGAGTGGGAGCCACTCATGTTTTTTATTTACAGTTTATTTAATTGAAAGTCTATGAAACATTGAAATTGAAAGAATTAAAAGAAAAGAAAAGAAACGTGGTGACGCGGTGCAACAGTGGAGCTACACACATGCACCACTGATGAATAAAGATCAGATGAAAGAGTCATCAGTCAGTGACTCTTTCATTTGCCTGCCCCCACCCCCCATCCTCACCTAACTGTTTCTGATTGGTCCAACAGCAATTATTAATGTTTGTCTGTTCTTACCGGGGGAGGGGGGGGAGGGGGGTGAGAGAGAGGGAGAGAAAAAAAAACACAGACAGACTCAGAGTAGCGTTAGCCAAGCGTTACAAAGATCCCATTACCTCCCAGGTTCACACCAGCGTGCAGGCTGTATCAAATATTGATTTTTTTTTTTTTCAGTCTTTGTAAATAATAAGACGTTGGGGGCCGACTCAAGCTGACCCCCCCCCCAAAAAAAAAAACATTCCAAATATCTACAGCCCTAAACCTCAGGTCATCTGTCTTCTTTCACCTTCACCTACAGAGAAGCTGGATTATAAAAAAAACAAAAAACTTTTATTGGTGCGGCTGAAGAAAACATGAAGGAGTAGAAGTTCATCTTCAGGAGCCCAGAGATGAAGATGGCTTTAAGTCAAATATAAACAGGTGGAACAGAGTTAGTTAGTAGAAGAAGAGTGAGTGGTAAAGTTGACCTCTGACCTTTCTGCCAAGAATCTGAGCTCAGATCCCACAGACAGAGGCTGTTTGTTCTATTTGGACTCAAATCCATGACTGATCTTTTTAAATTAGCATTAATTCTTCAACATCTGTCACGTTTTTAAACAAGAAAAGCGTTTGAGGTTTTTAGCCTAAAACAGTGGCGTTAACTCGGCCGTACGTCGGACGAAGAGACCAGCAGCGGCCGACGGTTCTAATAGTTATCAGAAAATAGAATAAATAAACACCAGACAACATCTCTTCTGTCTCCTGCGGGGGCGCTGGGCTCCGTCCCCCAGTGTTTCTATCTTAATTTAATCTTTATACACCTGCCCCGTCCACAGGGGCAACAGTCCACAGAATAATACGTCCATCAGCCCAGGACTGGTCCACAGTCTCACCTGCAATAAATAGTCATCAACAGGTTTATATGTTGGATTTATATAAAGGTATATATATATATATATGAGTTTCTGTGTGTATTATACATATATGTGTAGGTGTATGTGGTGTAGGCGTTCAGCTCATGTCAGACCTGACACCTCGGCATGTGGTTCCTCGGCCTGTTCAGCAGCAGCAGCAGTAACAGCAGCAGCAGCAGCGTCTGTATCTGTTGCATGTTTCTGAAATGTAGGTTGTAGATAATTTCTTCCATTTAAATGTACTCCACAACACTTTGTGGAACGGGTCAAGGTGCATAAACACAATCTCCTGGGAGAGTTAGCCCCGCGGCTCAGTTAATGTATTGATTTTACAGCGCCGTGCCGTGATAAAACTATTTCATGAATTCCAATGAGACTCCTTTGCCTCTGCTGCGAGAGAGTGAAATACAATCACCAGCACCAGGAATATGTCATTGTGTTCGCAGCTTGTATAATGCCGGGTGGGCGGGGGGGCGGGGGGGGGGGTTGTATGTGTGGGGTCGCTGTGAATGTTCCCGCTGCTGCTGCTGCTTTAATCTCCTCTCATTTGGAGCAGTTCCTCCTTCCTGCTCAGCACAGAGAGCAGATGTCTGAGGTATTCACACCTCACCTGCGTTCACACAGCGTTCACCTCCACACCAGGTGGTGTGAACATGGACGGGGGTTCTTATCAAGACATACATTACAGGGTGGACAAGTTATGGCTCCTTTGTTTTTGCATGAATATACAAATCACCCCCCCCCGCCCCCAACCTTTGGATGAACAGTGCAAATATGATATATAGCTGTGGTTCCCAACCCCTGTGCCGTGGCCCACTAGTGTGTCCATTTCACTTAATTGGTTTTAAAACTGTTGTTTATTTATTGATATGATTTTTCTTGTCTCGTCAGGGTTCCCAAGGCAGAACAATTCAATCCTCTTCTGCTAGGGGGCAGCAGATGGCTATGGAAACTGAAAACAGATCTTTGTGATTGTCTTTCTTCAATTCCTGCCAGTATATCAGCGTTGTCTTCAACTAAACAGGCTGAGATTTTAGTCAATGATGAGGTCATCTAATCCAGAGGATAATTATATTTAATTCCATGCAGTTTTGGTGAGATTTTTGTTTGCTGCTGTGACGCGGCTCAAACAAAGGTCGGGAAACAGAGTTGAACAGTTCTGACATGTAAATCTGACCCCAGTCATGTGACCAGTTGAGCAGCAGCAGCAGCAGTCGGCAGATGACCGTGGTTTCAGTGAGGTGACGGAGAGGTGCTGGACTGATGTGTCACCGTGGCACAGAACGGGCGCCGGCGCTCGGTTCGACACCAGCCAGGCCCATCTGTTTGTCACCTGGTCTTGGCACGAGGAGACTGGGTAATGACAGGGAACGAGCGGCATCAGTGGGCAGAAGCTGCGGGGTAATTACTGACTGGAATCCATGCAGAAACAGCACATCTGGAAGCGCGAGTCAAGATGTAGAGAATTATACACTCCCTTCCTGATTTCTATCTGTCAGAAATGTGGAGCTGCATATCAGCCTGCAGGCTACGAATCCTTGACTCCATCACGGCTCTCTCTGATCCTGATGTCCTCTCCCCGGGGGCACAGTGGAAATTCAGTTGTGCTTTAGGCAGTGGAAAGAGGGAGGGAGAGGGAGAGGGGAAGGGGGAGTGGGAGGGAGCAGTGCAGACACACCAAGACAATCTGCAGGGAGATCAGTCATCGGAGCAGAGCAGCCTCAGCCTCAGACTGAGCCTCAGCCTCAGCCTCAGCATCAGCCTCAGCCTCAGTCTCAGCCTCAGTCTCAGACTCAGACTCAGCCTCAGACTCAGACTCAGCCTCAGTCTCAGACTCAGACTCAGTCTCAGCCTCAGGCTCAGCCTCAGCCGCAGCCTCAGCCTCAGACTCAGTCTCAGTCTCAGCCTCAGTCTCAGGCTCAGACTCAGACTCAGTCTCCGCTCCATCACTGCTTCAAAACCAACTGATGTTTAAACTAACAGAAATGATCTGCCTGGATGTGTTATTTTGAGGTCAGAGTTCACAGAGTCCTATACTGTGAGACGTGAGACGAACTCACAGACAGATTTGACCATATAATCTTGCGAAACACGTAATACGAAGGACAACATACTGTATAGTGAGTCCAATGGAGTGGTTCGCAATTATTTTCTGTCATGCGCCCCCTAGAGCACAGGTGCCAAATCTGGCCCGTCCTGTAATTATATTTGGCCCGCCAGAGTTTTCCCGCCATTATATATCCGCTATATACTTGCAAGATTTGTAGTATTAGCGATGTATGCACGATATTATAGCACATATATTTGTGGTTGTTCTTTTGTTGGCCTGTAATAAAATAATAAGAAACGAAACTAACCCCCCCCCCCCCCACCTCCCCCCCCCGCCCCACCTCCCCCCCCCCCCCCTCTGCCTTCATTTCAGATTTAACTAATTAAATTGATAAAAGTTCAGTGTGGAGAGCTGCACAACTCCTACCTTTGATGTGGCATTCTTTATGATTGGAAATAATTGGATTTTTTTTTCCCTCCCTAACCCCCTCCCCACACACACACATCCGTTCTGGGCATGCTCAGTGAATCGACCTCTTGTGAGTCAGTGGCCTGGCCAAGTCTCCGTCCATCTGGGAGTTCCTGGGCAGCCTGTCAATGTGGGCACCGGGTTGTGTCTGTAAAAACAGATTTTAGGAGGCCAGGAAGTGAGCTGCTGGGTCAGGGGTCATCCTGCAGGTTGGAGCGGTGCCTGCCATTGAGGGGTGGGGGGTGGGGGGTGCAGGTGGTGAATTCTACGGGGGCTCTGGTGCTCAACCTCCGTATCAGCTTGTCGTGCTCCTCAGAGAGCGGGCCGTGCCCACAGGCAGCTGGCTCCTCTCCACAGTCAGTGATAATCAGCAGAAGGAGACCCTGATGATTACTCTGCCTAAGACGCCTGTAACTGCCCGCTCTCTCTTCAGAATGTCAAACTGCTCCCGTCTAAAGCCTCCGCTGAGAACGCACTATAGAAACGGCCGTGACGTCCATCAGTTTCAGCTCTCTTTGTATCGGAACTAAATGTGAATTTAATTGCCTCTGGAACAGAGGAGGAGAGTTTTGAACCTCCTCCGTACAGCGCCCTCTATCAACCACAGACAGTTTCCTGTAGAACTGGTCCTGAGAGTCAGTGCTGCAGGACCAGCCTGGGCTGTGGCTCCATCAGCACCACGGACAGCTCCGTCTGGACTGGTCTGTGCTGCTGCAGCGTTAGTTACTAAACACTTGTAGAAGATTCTTTACAAATATATTTGACATTTAAATATATATATATTTATATATGTAAGTATATGTACATGTATGTACGAATTTATTTATTCATTTAGAACACTGGTCAGGACAGAGTCTGATTATTAATCTGTGCCTTTTGTTAATGTCAGTTTTAATATTTGAAGCGTCGTCGCTGAACTCTGCTCTGTGAAAAAAAACAGTCCGTCGTCACAGAAGGAAACAAGTATTTATTTACAGTAATATGGATGAGTATTGTACTGTATTTGTTTGTACTGCGTATGTACATGTACCTGTGGCACAGTGGCTGCTCGTTGAGCCGTTGAGCCTTTCACTGTGATCCGCGGCTGATGAGGGGCTCAGCCCCCCCCCCAGCCCCCCCGTGTTATCGTGGCTCAGCTCACTGTGACTTTGGCTTCTCTCTTCACTTCACTTCACAAAGATGATGGCTCCAAATTAAAGCTCTCTCTTTGTGCTTTTGTTGCAGGTATATCCAAGGTGCTTCATCTCCAAAGGACATGGTCATTATAGTGGATGTGTGAGTATCTCCTCCACAGGGCACCAGTGCCACCTGTTGGTCTGAGTAAAGCCCTGTAGCTGAAGCCTTCTCTCCTGTGTGTCTGTGCAGCAGCGGCAGCGTCAGCGGCCTCACCCTGAAGCTCATGAAAACCTCCGTCATCGAGATGTTGGACACTCTGTCCGACGACGACTACGTGAACGTGGCCATGGTGAGTGACGCCGACGTCTGTTGTGTTTGTAAGGCAGGTTCTAATCACGCGGACGGCCCCTGGATGGCAGGACGCGCCCCCACCATCAGCAGAGTGGCTTTGACTCTTCCTGCATCACTGACGTCCAGTTGGGATTTTCCCGCCACCGATCACTGAGCGTTTCATTAGCAACAACATTTAGGAGGATATTAATGTTATCCTAAACTGCAGGACAGATAAAACACACACACACACACACACACATGCGTGGTGACTCTGTTTAGAGTTTAATTTTTTTTTTATAATAATCCTTTATAATCCATTGCTCTTAGCCACTGTATGCCCTTAAATCCCAGCTCTGAGGGCAATAAATGAGCTCAGTAATCTGGTTGTAAACAGATCTGATTTCCACCGTTTAGAAAGAAAAGTCAGGCTTTTTACAAAAGCTTAGTGTGAAGGCATTGAGAGAAAAACACAAAGACAAATAATGACTGAGAATGAAGTGAAAAGAATCACTTGTTCTGCTGCACTTCACTGTTTCCAGCCCCACAATGGTAAATGAATTAGTTCTAATGACACTCCGTTTATTTCCATTTGGGATTTTAAAATATATTTTTACATTCTATTATTAACAGAGAGCAGCTTCACAGCTGCAGCCGTCGCCGTCGAGAGAGCAGCTTCACAGCTGCAGCCGTCGTCGTCTCATCTGATACTGAACGTCTGGATCATTATTCACCAGGAGGGTGAAAAAAAAAAAAAGTCACAAAGAAATGTCAGAAAGTTTCTCATAACAACAGACCTCGACAGGATGTGTAAAAATACTGACACTGACTACTGACAAATAACTGAACGTAGAATAATAAACCTGTTGTGTTCAGGACCAGTGATGGATTCTGGTTTTTTTTAGTCTTTGTCTCCTCATTTAAATAGTTTTTTTTTTTTAAACCCAGTGATAAAATGTCAGCGTTTCATTTTCAGTCAGGTCTGAAAATGTCAGTGGTTTAAGATCTGAGCTTAAAAAAAAGACCCTGAGCTTAAAGTCATCACTGCTAATGTTGGAGTCACACACACACACAAACACACACACGCGGAGCGTCGGACTAATTTGGGGGATGAGATCAGACAGGTGATTTCACCGTGGCTGGGTTTCTTCTCTCCGACTCTCACTGGTTTTTCAGCTGCACCTGGTCTTTGTGTCAGAGCTGCTAATTATCTGTGTTTACGTCGTCTGAGAACCACAGAAATCCTACGTCTGCCCACGTCCTGTCACCGTCCACTAACAAACGGGTGACGGAGGAATAAAAACAGAAACTGTAACAAATCAGACCTGAAGTTGGAGCCAACAGAAGTGAAGGCTTTTAAACTGGTTTGACTCCAGTTTGAACACAGCAGTTTGAGCTGAACTTCCAGATTTGATTCTGTTATTGTTGTCGTCATATGTTTGTGTTAATGACAGATTTACTCATTTGTCTGTAATTTCATATTTAATATTTCACTTGTGGTTGATTCATATTTGGTTAGATTTGGTCACCAGAGTAATTTCAGATTAAAATTCATCATCGTTTCCATTTATCAACAGTAAAAACCGTGTCTTTCTGCCCAAGAATAAACAACTTTTTTTCGTTTATGTTGATTGATCAGGATTAATTGCGATCAATGCTGAACTCCTCCGTCAATAATCAGATTCCAACATTTCAACATCTAGTTTCTGTGTTTCCCTCCTCCAGTTCAACGAGAAGGCCGACGCCGTGGTTTCCTGCTTCAGGACTTTGGTCCAGGCCAACGTTCGCAACAAGAAGATCTTCAAACAGGCCGTCATGCACATGCAGGCCAAAGGAACCACCGACTACAAGTCCGGCTTCACCTTCGCCTTCGAGCAGCTGCTGAACGTAAGAGCCGTGAAAAAAGCCGCGTACCGCCGCGGTACCTTCTGCCACGTCTGATGCAGCCATTAATACTCATTTGAAAAGTGATGAAACGGTGGTGACAGTCGGCCGCTCTGATTCCGAGCAGACATTTCCAGCTTTCTGTCATCGTCACAGGTTGAGCTGATTTAACCGCGGTGGCGGTATTAGGGTGGAGGCGGTGCGGTGCGGCGGTGCTGATGTCTGTCAGCGGCCCCCGCGTCCCCGTGCTCCGTACCCAGGTGCTGCCTCAGCTCCGTATGCTGCGGTGTGTGTTCAGAGGCTGCCGCCCTAATGGGCTCTGATGGGATGATTGATGAGGCCGGCCCAGAGAGGATCGGCCGCAGACACTTTATATTCCTCTGCTGGGGTTGGAGGCACACAGCCAAGTGCCGACTGCTCCCCTCCCCCCCCCACCCTTCCCCCCCCCCCCCCCTCCCCCTTGCCACCCTTACT